GATTTCTCGCTTTCTGTCTCTCTGTGACCACACCCCCCCTAAAAGAAAAACCCCTCCAAAAAAAAAAAAAGGAAAAGGAAAAAAAAAAAAAAAGAACACTCTTGACTGTTACTCAGGCCCCAATTTCTGGGGTGTGAAATGGGGGGGCACATGTCCAGCCTCCCCCCACGACCACCATGGGTTATTTATAGGATGACATGCTTACCTAAGACCTGCTGAGTGCTCAGCAGAGAGGAGCTGTCACTCTCCGCCAGTGTTCTTGGCACACTGCTGGCATCTCTCTGGACCCCCACCCCTGCCCTCTCCTGCATTGTGACCCCTAGGCTCACGCAGCCCTTTCATGGGTAGGTGTTTTCATCCCTGTTGTGTGTTTTGTTTTGTTTTGTTTTTTTAGTTTGCTGTAGAGTGTGTGTAGGGAGGAGTGTGTGGGGAAGAGGGTAGGAGGGAGGAGGACAGGGAGAGGGAAAAAGTGACAAATCACCCCCCAGAGGGAAATGGCCACGCCACCTGCAATCCCTTCTCCTCCATTCTCCTCGTGGGGTTTTGAGCACGCACATGCGCACACTTTGTGTGTTTTGAAGCTGCTGAGCACGAGCTCCGCAAGAACACAGACTCCAGGTTGGTTCCTTTTGCACCCAGGTGCCTGGCTCCTGATATAGGCAAGATAGCCTGTTCACACTGGAAGGGCATAGCCGCTGGCCTAGGGCAGGCTCGGTTTGCATCCAGTGTCCCGTGTGACCATAGGAAGTGGTCTCTTTTTTATTTATTTATTTTTTTTTTTGAGAGGTTTTTGCTATAGGGTGTGTGCACTCACCGGAAAGACAGAGAGAGACAGAGAGATGGAAAGCGAGAAATCAACCCCCAGGGGGATGGCCACGCCACAATCCCTTCTCCTCCATTCTCCTCTTGGGATCTTGGGCATGCACGCACATGTGCCCAGCCTGAGTTTAAGCCACCGGGTCCGGGACTCGAACCGTGGTTGTCTACATGGGAGTCTAGCAACATAGCTATTATGCTAACTGCTGGTCCCTAGGAAGTGGTCTCTTGTAGAGGGGCCCTGGTTCAGATGGTTGGTCACCCTATAACCAACCCAGGCCTGGGACCACACCAGGCCTGTGCTCCAGCTCCCAGGGCAGGTGCTGGCTGACCTTCCTGGCCTCTCCTCTCCTCACTCCTAGAGCAATGTTAACTGTTTCACGCCCACACCCTGGAAGTTGCCAGGACTCATGTGGGACTGGTGTTGGGGCTGCTGAGGAAAGGAGAGGGAAGGGAACTGACGTTTACACCAACATCCTCATGTCTCCTCACTGCCCCACGAGGTGGGAGCCCTTTCCCCTTGATAGAGATGAGGAAGCTGAGGCTTGGGACTAGGCGGGACTTGCCCAAGGTCACACGGTTAGTGCACAGCAGAGCCCAGATTGGAGCTTAGGATCCGCTGCCAAGTCCCAAGCACAGGCTTCATCACCAAGGGTCAGTTCCTCCCTTCTCTTTGCCGGTTCTGCCTTGGGGAAGTCTAGAAAAAGTGCTGAGCACTTGGGTTGCTCAAACCCCCACTGCTGCTGGGTGCTGTGTGAGACAGACTGCTGTGAGGTCCAGCGGCGGTGGCACACAGGTAACGCCACCGCTTGGGAGGCTGGAGTCTCACGGGAGGCCCACGTGTGAATCCCGGGCCAAACAGAACACACGGAATGCAGGTGCATGAACCCATAGTTCTAGCTAAGTGGGTGGCGGGGGCAGGAGGATCATGACAGTGAGGCCTCGTCAAACATACTTGTCTTGGGACCAGCAGTTGGTGTAATGGCTATGTCGCTGGGCTCCCACGTGGTTGACCACAGTTTGGGTCCCGGACCCAGTAGCTTAAAACTCACACTGGAAGCATGTGCATGCATGCCCAAGATCCCAGGAGGAGAATGGGGGAGAGGGGATTGTGGCATGTCCAACCCCCACGGTGGGTGATTTCATGCTTTCTGTGTCCCTGTCTCTCTGGCGAATGCACATGTCCTATAGTAAAAAAAAAACTCTCTAAAAAAAAAAAAAAAAACACCTCTCCTTTTCCTTCTCTCTCTCTCATAAAGGAAAATGAGAGAGAGAAACTGGACAGGAGGCTGTGAGCACACCAGCTTGCTCAAAAAACTCGGGGCCGGTGGGCACTGGGGGTGCTTGTGGTGAGCACAGCGGGACTTCTCTGTGGGCTCTGTGGGAGCCGGGACCCTGCCTCATTCACCGGCATTTTCCAAGCACGAGGCCTGACCCACAGCAGGGACTGAGCAAATAGTCGTTGCACAAATGAATGAATGAATGAGTTCTTAGTCTCCAGTGCTGCCTCAGAACCACTGAAGCTTTACTGAATTGGGGGCCTGTGAAGGGCAAATCTCTTAGCTCCGCGGCTCTCTTCATAAAGGTTTCCTCCAGAGATCTGGGCAGACAGACAAGTGATTCTTTACCCTGGGTTAGGGCTTTACAATGAGCCGAGGCCCTTCTCCTGCATTGTGACCCCTGGGCTCTCACAGCCCTTTCATGGGTAGGTGTTTTCAACCCCTTTATGTGTTTTGTTTTGTTTTTTAGTCTGCTGTAGAGTGTGTGCACTTATGAGTGGTAGAAGGGAGGGGGAAAAGGGAGAGAGAGAAAGTGAGAAATCACCCTCTTCCAGAGGGGAATGGCCCATGCCACTTGCAATTCCTTCTCCTCCATTCTCCTCGTGGATTTTGGGCACCCACATGCGCACACGCGCACACTTTGTGTGTTTTTGAAGCTGCCAAATGCGGGACTCAAACCACCAAGTGAGCCATGTGGGATCCAGTTGCCTTAGCCACCACGCCACTGGCTGGCCTTTGTCCCCATTTTTTAGATGGGGAAACTGAGGCGACTCCCAGTTGAGTGCCCTTTCCAGCGGCAGCACATGGGGTAGGGGTGTGTATGTGTGTGATTCAGAAGCAGCTTGAACCCCTCCGGCCTGTTCCAGGTGGACCCGGAGCCCCCATCAGGGGTCTCCTTCCATCTGAACCCTTCCACCAGAGCCTCACTCTATGCTTAATAGTTTAATCTTTAGTGTGCTTTGCAAGGAGAAGGAGGCTCAATTCCTGTCTCGGGTATTTTTAGCCTCCCTCAGGAAGGGGAAGCTCTGTGGGGCCAGTCGCAGCAGGAGGGGGCCCAGGCTGGAGCCAGTTTCCTGAGGA